ACGGACGTGAGGCAGCTGAGTGATGGAACAATCATCATTCGTGGTGGAGAAAGCTCCATTACGGAAGTCGGAGGCGTTAGATTTGTCGTACGCCCATCTGTTGTACACTTGTCGATTCGCATGAGATCCTATCCTCGCCTGGCTTCATTCGACTCCGTCGTCTCTATCACTATCATTAACTGGTATTTTCCAACATGAGCAGCTGATAACTCAGAATCTGCTGCTTTTTATGAGGATTTGGAGAAAATCATCCGCAAAGAGAAGTCATTCTACAAATTTGTTGTCGGTGACTTCAATGCGAAAATCGCGATGTCAGAAGAAGAAGAGTATAGGATCGGGAGTTTTGGATCAGGCACGGAGTGACATTGGTAACCGTCTTGTTGGGTCCTTATCCGCCGCACGACTTTCTTATGTCCAAATTCATGAAGAAAAAACACCAGCGATGGACATGGGAGCTACCCAAAGGTGCAACTCGTGCTGAAATCCACATTTTTAACAACTGAAGGTGGTGCTTACTAGATACTCAGTGGTACCATCCTTCAACCGTAAACCAGACTAAATCAGATCACCACCTTCCAATGCGATTCAGCCAAAAGCTGGAAAGAAAGATCTCTCACCGTGTTGAAGGAAGGAGAGAAGTCGTATATGATGGGGTCAGATTGGGCCCCGTCATATACGACTTCTCTCCTTCCTTCATGTAACTGGCCCATCAGGACCCTAACGAAGGACTACAACCTGCTTTTCAGGGAACTGAGGTACTATGGTGAAAGTGCCTCAATGTTTCGAACAAGAAACTTGGAACGAATTTCGAAAGCCACCGAGGATCTGCTAGAGAGGAGGAGAGCACTGAGGTGGATCCGATTGCATCACATCTCGAGCGACGGTAGCCAGTACCAGTTGCAGAACCTTTGCAAGAGGATCTTCGAAGATACGGCAATCAAAACTTTTGGAAGCAGCACAAGGACCGCAGGGACCTTCTCTACTAGCGCTCCGCTGACAACATTACTACACGAAGACGGGACTCGCATTCCACACCATCTCTTTCGCTCGTCAACACCCGTGTCAAACCCCGTTATTCCCACTGGAGAAATACATGCTGGAGTACGCGCCGCAATCCAGACCATGAAGGTAGACACGGCTGCGGGACCGGACTATGTTTCCCGACCTCTTAC